GGGGATTATTACACCGTTTCTTCATTCTGTTTTATGGTTTAGTACAGCTTGCCAGAGATAATACAAGCTTTAGAGGAGAGGGGAAAAAAAACACAAGTGGGACAGCCAGATTGTCCCACTTTTAATCAAATGGGACATCAAACGGGCCATCAAATTATCTTTATCTCACTTCAAATAAATTCATGATTCAAGTTGAAGGCAAATTTTCTTTGGTGCAAGCTTTTTAAATGTGATTAGTTCCATTTTTAACATAACCGTAACCTCCAGTTACCTGAACTAAAAGTTTTATAATTTTACTTGTCAAAAAAAATGTTTGTTGTCATCGTGATTCTGTTTTCTAAACCAAACAAAAAAGGTGAGAGAATGTTTAGTTTTCATTTCAGGTCTCAAAGCAGTAAGATGAAGAAGTGTCTTGTGACGGGTTTGGATTGACACTAGAGATGCCTCTTGCATTCAGAGCAGAGCACATCAAGGACTGTGTCACCCTTACCAAAGCAGCAACATTGAAGTCCTTTGCCATCGTCTTAAGAACTCCTGCCACTTGTATCATCAAGGACATGCCTGGAGGCACAGAAGTTGCAGAGAGGTTAGTTCATGTATAGAATACTCTTGGTGTCTCTCAGTGGTACGTTCTAAGCGATTCAATTCGAGCTTCAGATATTGTTGTGATGTAGAAATTTCTTAAAACAACCTCTCCAATAAAAATCTTTTTTTTTTTTTTACCTTGTTACCACGTGGATGTGGTGTTTTTTATAAGCTAGCAAACGTATCACATGTGAAGTAAGAACCCTACACACTGCAATGTACTGAGAAAAGTCTCAAAACATGAATTCAGACTATCTTATTTATTGCTGCTTCTTCTTCGGAACAGGTGCATCGATACATCTCACTGCGCATTATACTATGTATAATTGTGTTTGTGACCACTAAAGGCCTTGAATCCTTGAATCTTGAAGAGTTGTAGGCGAGCTGGTGTGCTGAGCTGCAGCAAGTGCGAAAAGATGGACGTAGAGGCAAGAACTTCATAGATCTGCACATTCTAGATGAAGCAACAGTGCCAAGTTATATCTGTTTTAAGGCATTATTTTCATGGACTAAACTTAGAAATATGTAACTTTGATGAACACAGATGAGATTTTAGGGGTTAATTAACATCTGTAGAGGGACTTCAATATGGTTACAGTGACCTGAATAGGGATGGCAATGTGGTTCAGTCTGTCACTTTGGCCACAGATGTTCATAATCCATTATGGAAGGAATAAGTAATAACTTGTAGCTCAATCAGCAAGTCAAAAATTTAGTTTTTGGAATAGTTATAACCTGCAAAACACCTGTTTAATGTCAATTAGCAAATATCTGCATGCTAACAAGCAAAACGAAGCTGGCAATTGTGGTAACTAGTTGCTAAACTGCTGCATGATGCATGTTCCTTAGTGCACTGTGCCATAATGCTTTCACAGAGCTGCTAGCATGGCGGTTCAGCTGTGTTCCAGTTCATTATTTTATCATTTAGTTCTTATTAGAAAGTATGTAACACATACACTGCTCAAAGCCAAACTACGGTTCATGGAGTGCAACTGATAATTATATTTAACACAGAGCAAGCAGCAAGTGTTTTCTCAAAAGAAATTAGTTATTGTTTGTTTTCTCCCACTTTGGCTGGTTTTCCCAACGTGAACAAGCCTGAATGATCAAAAATGGGCTCTCATTAGCAGATTCATACAGTTGCATCTTTAAGTTCTATAATCTCAGACGTCTATTGTCTGCTCAAAACGATAAAATGTGTGTTTCTGGGTAAAACAAACACTAACAGATCAAATGTTTCCTCAGGTCACTGCTAGATCCCGACTGGGATTTAAGTTAGCCACTATTAAGGCTGATAATGACCAATCACGGACATATCAGTGGTGGAATATGTGTTGTCCGATGTGTACGATATTTATTTAGTTTTTTTAAATAAACATAACACAGAACAAGGTGCTTGGAGTAGTTAAAAAATTGTCTAGAACAATTCTCTCACCTCGGGCTGAAGCACATGCAGCAGAGCACACATCACAGCTAATGGAGCAGAGTCAGACTGTGTCTTTACAATAAGCTGCTTATTTTTTTGCAATATACATTGCTGGAAAGGTAATAAACAATGGACACTTTCCTTTTTAAATATAGCGCTAATGTAATGTATATAAAGTAATTCAGCTGATATATTGACATCAGCATTCCTTTATTTCCTAAAACCAGTATCAGGCATCGAATGGACTCTAGTCCCTGCCCTGACCTGCCATAACTAGACCAGCAGCAGTCTTTACAAACACAAGACCACAAACTTACATCTGTAACCCACTGGTGGATAACAGGATGTTTTCATGGGAAACATTATGCAACTGAATGACAGAAAATGGAAACAGAAAAATCTATTTATGATACATGAGTCCACCTAAACATCAATTGTCTAGAAAATCATCTACTGAACAGAGCTCATTTCTTGTCTTTTGCCTCCAGTTTAGAGAACGTCTGAATCGATTTTGCCACAACGCTGTCTTGACTATATTTTAGTGTTATGTTTTATTCGCCTTGGTTTTCTATTTGACTGGACCTGCTCTGCTGTGGAGAAAAAAATAAAATAAAACGAAAACCCTCCATTGGAAAATAAGTGTATTTTTCTGTAAACAAACTCCTCAGATCTCTGGCTGAAGCTGGTCAGGTGTTGATTTATTCATGAATAAATGAGTTGCCAGTTACTCTGCATACACCAGTGGAGTCTCTTTAAAGTGTCTATAGCTTCTAAGAAAAAAAAACAACTAATTAGCTCTTACTTTGTGCACTTCAGGCTGGAGTTATGTTGTTGTTTTTGATCATTTGTAATGTCTGTTCACAGGCAGGTAGATTGTAGATCAACCTTTTGAATCTTGTTATTTTAATTAGATCACAATTTTGGAATCTCCTATTAACCTTCTCTTAGAAATAAAGTTGAATAAAATGCACTTGGATTAAAAACTTCAATTGATTTTACTGTCCAAAGGTCAGGCTCTAGTTAAAGCAGCTTCACCGTTAATGAAAACAAGTTGTATAGCTGGGTTCTAATTTATGTGTGGTGCTTTGGATTTATTGTGTTTGGATTGCAGTGTTACTTTTTTTTTTTTTACACCTGCTTATGATCGGGACCAGCTCAGATGTCACGCTTCCAAACAGTGTGGGAACCCTGCTGTGATATTTATTTTACGGATTCATGGCTGCAGGTGTAAACACAGCCGCAGGTATGATTGACTATGATGGACTAGCAGAAAGAGATATCACCTTCATTCTGTATGCCTCCCAGTAGCGGAGAGATAACGGCAGACACGGAGTCCACGATCACCGCCTTGACGGAGCCGCCACCGACAGACGCCTAACGTGAAATGTGAGAAAAATTGGATACCTGAAAATCAAAAAGAGTTCACCCGGGTACGACTTTGAGTGTATGTTAAGCAAAAAAAAGATGATAAAAACATAACAAACCTGCTGAAGCCCACCACTGCGAAGGCTGTAAAGACAGTCGAGCAAAGAGTAGACGTCGAACAAACGGAAGGTGTGGATCCTCTGAAGTGCTGCCATCTGTAAAGTTACAAAATGTTGTTTAGAATTATTTTACATATGTAGTGTTTGTTTAAATTACTATGAGCTCACCTGCTCTTCCGTGTTGCTGGTTTCAGCTTGGAGCATTTGAAGCAGGCGGCCGGCAGCAAGCCCTCCTGTCGTATCAATATACACCACGCTCTGTTTCAGCCGGTAAGAAATGTGCACCGCGACGCCAAAGCACACCTGAAAGACACGGGAAAGCATGCGGGGAATAGTTAAGGGATAGCACAGACAATTTGTTTTGGTTAAACAATAACTCAGGAAAGTATTATTTCGGCTTGAGTGCATTTCTTATTCTATAGGAGAAGGGGGAATTCTAAAAAAAAAAAAAGAAAGAGTGAATTTATGAGGCTGAAATTATCAGTGATGGAGAGGGAAGCTAGGAAATGTTCACCTGAGATTTGCCACTTCCTGGGCCTCCTGACAGCTCTGTTATCTCCCCAGTATACAAGCCAGAATCCAGCAGTTTATCTAAGCTGCAAGAAACAAGGCGCAATTCATTACTCACAACTGCCATCCGATGTAATAAACCATTAAGTCCAAGTGCAGCCGCAGAGCCAACACAAACTGCAGCTGGGTAAGCACAACACAAACCAGACTTTCCTTAAGATGTCTCAGAACCAGACTTTCCTTAAGATGTCTGGCCAGTTTGGAATTTCAGTTGCTGTGCTTCTTATCGAGCTCGGACGCTGGTGGCGTCTTTCAAATTGAGTCTGACTAAAATAGTTGGCATTTAATGAATCTGTTTTTGGAGGAGCAGGGAATTTGGTACAGGGTTAAGTTTAAATCCAGTTTAAAATACGGTTTTACCACAAAGGGTTATGTCAATCACAACATAATGTACAAAGTCCCAATAAAGCCTTTTAACAGCAGGGTAAAAGGAAAATTTCAGATATCGATTAGAGATGTTGCAATCACCATTTATTGTATGCATCTTGCTCTGGGTCACCGCGCTGACCTGAGTATAAAACAGTTTGCAGTAGAAGTTTAACAAGTCGTATAAAAGCAATAGGCGAGCTACAGGCGACCTCGATCAAATGAAACCCAATGTGACCCCGTGTGGGAGGAATTTGTTGGCACAAAACAGAAACCCATTGATAGAAAAACAGCTCTGCAGACTAACTAGAGGTCAAACTCCACGGAGAACCTTCACCAGAAATGTCTTAAAGAGCTCATATGCTTCTTTTTTTGTCTTTTCCCCCCTTTTCTTTAAATGTGTTATAGCGTTTTAGTGCATGTAAGAAGCGTTTTTCTGTGGGAAAAGTTATTCTCTCCCACAGAAACGCTGCTCTTTACATGCCTGAAAAACCTCATTCTAAGTCCAGGCCTTTCTTGCATTACCCGTTTACAGCACCATGTGGCACATTTGTCTAGCAGCTACCTCGGCACACTTTCAACCTTCAGCTATACATCTCTCAGATCTGGATTTACTGCAAATAACCAACGTTTGTCTGATCAGCTGACCAATCAGAGCAGACTGGAGGCTTTTAAGAGACAGGAGTCACAACGCAGCTTTTCAGACATAAGAGATGCAGCAGAAATGTTATTTTATAGGAAAAGTAATGTGTTATTTGAATTTGCTCTGCAACCTGTTCTAGAAGAAAAAAATAGAAATGGAAATCATTAAATTCGGCCAAGATTTTATACAGACTGCAAATATGCATTTAACAGAATAATGCATGAGGAAATGAACTTGCTGACAGACAAGTTCTGCAAAGTCCAGACTGAAATATCTAAACAACTATCTGATGGCTTACTATGAAATTCTGTACACATATTAATGGTTAATGAATACAAAACATACACAGCATAGCATTTAAATCTTAGCTGGATTGTCGGGCTACCTGCTTTTTCTCGCATCAACCACTGCAACGAAACGAGGCAACAGCTAATGTGAAGGTGAGGCTCAAAGCTCTGCAAAACTACTGGTATAAATCATCTGTATACGCCATCTTTAACGCCGCTCAATTAATTCCCATTTCACCATCTTCTTTTATTACTTTTTCTGTTTCTTCCAGTATTATACCCCAAAGCCAATTACAATAAACAGCCAGCTGAAAGCAACATGTAAAATGTCTCAAAGTCCTGCAGCAAGAGATGATACTTGAACCGTCTTTATTCGCAGGGACACGCGGCACATCGGAGGGTCCGTGCTCCAGATTTACAGCCTTGTCAGTCTTGTTATGAGTTCTTTGTTGCTGCTCAGGTAAATCTTCCCCGAGTTCCACCTTCATACACTCAGGGCCGTTTATACGTGACCTCTTCTGGCCCAGTGTATCCGCTCTTTTTATATGTTCACACGGCGAGAAACTTGAGCAGTAAATCCACAGAGGTCCATTAACTTCCCACAGAGCTGAGCGAACACAGGTTGGACTGATGTGACGGCGAAAATGTGGCTAAAAAGAAGGAGGCCGTGGATGAAAGTTTTACAAGTAGCTGTCATCAACGGACAACATTCCCGTGCTACTTTAACCTTGCTCTAATAATATGATTTCAGTTTTTAACAATAGTTCTGTCATACACATGCAAAACAGGTGCTTACAGCTGATCCACAACACGAGTTATTCCATCTCAAATCATCAGGGAACTTCTACTCGATCTTGTCTGATTGGCTTGAAACTTTTTTTTTTATCACAAACTTTGGATATTTAAAATAGTATCTGTGAAAGTATACGTTCCAAGACAATCTAAAAAAACCAAAACTCATCAACACACTTTTAGCACGTTCAAATTTGAGGCTATGTTTGGATGACAGCATCTCGTAACTATTAAAGACAAAAGCCTGTTTGACACGATAAAAATGGATCAAATTCAAAATAAACTTGGCTTTTAAAGACCAATATCACAAGCTGGAATTTGTACAGAAACTTAAAGTGTGAGTACATGTATATTTATAGGAACTGCTTACGAGTTTACCTTCAAGCATCTTGTCCATAAAATGTATAAATTCAATAATTCACTCTGTGAGTACAGTCTACAAATTAAAAATATGCCCATACTCAAAGTTATTTTCTTAGTTATAGGTGGAGAACCGCTTTGAAACTACAGAATTTGTTCTACTCCGATTAGGCTATCCAGCAATATTTGTATTTTTGTGGTACAGCTTTTCGTACCTGCTCAATCAATCCTGAAGATTCAGCAAAATAACTTATAAATTCTAAAATATACTATATATTTATTCCATTACTATAACATGCAACTACACATGGTTCTGAAAATATTGCTTGTTAATTTTTTCATTGTCATTTTTTTGTCAGCATGAGCTTAAAAATAGGATTTTAATGACTTTTTTTTTTTTTTTCTAATGTTCCAGGTTCTGAATCAATGGCACAATGACAACAGTTGTCACAACAGTGACAATTTCAGGCTTCTGTCTTTAATAGTTTCTAAGGTATTGTTAGAATATCGGCTCAAATTTGAAAAAAAAAAAAAACTTGCTGAAAGTGGGTCGTGGGGCAATTTAACAAAAATATTTATCTCTGTGAGTTATACATATTTCATGCTACAAATTCAGAAATATCTTTGTAAATACCCATATTTTATGCTGCAAAAAAAAATTCAGGAAAATCAGAGATGATCAAGCAGAAAAAATGAATGATTTAAGATGGACTGACCGTACAGGAATACTCATTCAACCCTTTGGCTTGCAGAGCTGCTCCATCCATCAGTGGAGGGGCTGCTGAGCTCAGATCTTTTGTATCTTGTTTGTCAATTATGGCGCCTGCTCAGTGTTTGCTGCAGTGGTTACTTACTTCATCATGTAATAGGGCTGCACAATTGATGAAATATTAATCTCAATCTTGATTCAATGAACACGACTTCTTTGGCAATTAAACGAACACCATCCACTGCGATATTGACATTTAAAAGGCTCTGATGACAGAAAACTGCTGGATACAAAGTCTTCCTAAACTAACAGCTGACGACCAGGTAGCGCTGAGAGATGTTTTGACTTCTCTTTTGGTGGGACTTCATGCCGGTGCACGCACCCCTTCAGCAAAAAATTACCTGATTGTTGTGGGTACAGTCAAGAGTAGGAGATGGAGTGGGAACTGAAAAGTGTTAAACAGATCATCAACTGTTGTTTGGAAGAATTTAAGGTGGGGTATTAGAAAATCTCTGCAAAGCAACACAATTAACTTGTATAATGTTCCACTCCTGCAGTGATTCAAGCAAACATTTAGTCAGAGTGCTTTATTTTGGTCTTTTTTTATGCAAAAAAAACATTAAACATTGATGCATTGGAGGATATTTTCTATCTTCTACTGAAATGGAGGTATTTCTGTTGACACCAGAATGAAACATCTCGAAAGGACTGACAGCTGTAGAGGAAAGAGCGTCGTTCTTGCGCTCATGACTTAAATTTTAACGCTCCATCCATCTGTTCTGTCAGCGTCGCAGCGTTTTTTGATTCGTCGACGTTGATATTCTGGCCAGCGATCTGTGGACTTTGTGGAATCTCATCATCTCACTCGTGATGATGGATGCGACAGACGCGCAGTTAAATTTGCATAGTCAAGGTCCTCCAGCCTGAAGGTTAAGCATCACTGCAGGCCCGATGGCCGCTCTCGCCACCCACGGCGCGATTGTGAAGGGAAGAATTGGTCGGGATGGACTTATTTGCATTGCCGCTGCCTCCTCTGACAACTGCGCACAGAGAGTTGCGCTGTTGATGAAACATCCGGTTGTGTTCTTGTGAGGACTCGGAGGCATGAAACTGATTGCCCTTGAAAAGTCACAGATTCAGAAGCTCCCGTGGGCTGCACTCGTCAGTGAGCTGAGAACACTGTGCAGTCATTGGGCCTGAAAGTCTTCAACTTGGTGAAAGATGAGAGAAGGCTCAGACTTTGTTGTCTGTTTTCCTTTAAAGGATGACTTTTAGATTCCTGTGGATATATACTTTCTTCCTGTGGTCATACCCAGAACCAGAATAATAAGTTAAACAAATAGTAGGAATTAGCAGCGTCTCACTCAAGGCAGCGGTAATACTTGTGTCTCTTTCTGCTTCATTAACTAACCACTAACGCTGAGCTTCAAGGCTGAATTTCTCATGAGAAGCCTCCGACACAAGAGAATCTTCGCCCCTTCCAATGAGGTTTTAAGTGACTATCTTGATTTGATGCTGAATTTTATCACTTGATCACACCCAAACATCTCTACAGCGGTTTATACATGGAGTCCTAATATGATTGCGCTATCAACAAATATTCTGTAGGCTACATCGCACGCTAACTGATGGAAGCCTCTGAACCATTATCAGCCCTCATCATCCGTCCTGGTTGTATGAAAAATTACTTTGGCAGCCGGAAAATCTGATAAGGTTTGTTTAGGTTTTTTTGTTCCTTTCTCTCTGCCTCACTTTGTACACATTATCTGGTACTCTGAGTGGCTAAACAAGTAAATACCATTCATCATTCATTATCATTTTTCAATTACTACTTTTGTCTACAAAATGCAAGTTTTATTTATGTGTATTTTTGTCCTGCAAAGGGCCCCCTGCTACAGGAGTAATAACAGGAATCAGAAAGGTAGAGCGCTTAAAACTAATTGACACTCTAGAAAAGTACAAATACATGCAGTTATTTTGTGATGTTATAGTAGGAGACTTTCTGACACTTCTATTAGCTTGTCATAATACGCCTCTAATTCACTGTGCACAAAGAAAAGGAAGTGTTAAAGCAGCAAAATGTAAATACTCAGATATTTGCATTGTTGAATTCAGACTAAATTCTTCTCTCGAACAGAAGTGAAAAGGAAAAGCATCAGTGATTTGCCGTCACAATGGATAATTTTTTCCATAACTAATTCCCTGATTCTGATGCGGGAACCACAAGCAGCGATCTTCTTTCCTGGCAACACAGCTGATCAGCCGAGGAAACGAGCATGAAACGCAGCATTAGCAAGCGAGCAAAGCAGGAAGCGCTCTGCATATCAACAGACTGCAGTCACTTAGAGCGGGAGTTCCCAAAGTCTTTAACCTCCAAAATAGCGGCCCATAATAATAATGTCTAATACAGGCAGTTATCAAAGTGATCTCCGTGTATAAACATGCAGCAGATAGGAGCAGCAGACCTCCACATTGCTGCTGTCATGTGCAAACGTTTTGGAATTCTTACTTATTACTTTCAAATTATTGTTTAGCTTACAAAATAGGATATAAGATGGGTGGCCCTATACTTGGAGTCCACTGTTCATCTTGATTTTGAAGGAGGCTGGAGGTTCCTCAATAGAATGTGCACTACAGCTACCAAGGCTCTGTGCTGCATGCAAGGACAGTTTTTCTCTCCTCCCTGTGCAGCTGTTGTTACAATAAACCCCCAAAAAGTCCCCCAAAATAATCTTTAATTTCAGAGAATGCTACTTTAAGAGCATCCTCCATGTTTAATCGCTGTATTTGTCTGTATTTAAACTGACCTGTTGCACCTGCTGCTCTGGTTCCTCTGTTGTAAGCATCTCAGAGGTCACATGGGTCAAAGAAGGTGATGGGTTTTTTTTTATTTGCTTGATTTCATTCTAAATTTATATACTATTTTTAACTTTTGTTATTTCAAACCACTTTCAAATTTTAATTGATTTCCTTAAATCAGCTTCTTACTCCTCTAATAGCTAACTATTGGAGCTTAAACTTGGTAGTGTTCTACCTCAGAACTTTTTTGACAACATGGGCTATTTTTATAAACCAAAATGCTTCAGGATAGTGTTGCAATCACCCATTACTTTCATTATAGATTAATTTGATTAAGTCATTTCCTCTGTGTCAGAAATGTCAAACAATGTCCATAACCAGCATTTTCTGCTACACATTTTTGTCTCTTTGCAGATTAACAGCTGTCCACTTTCACAAGTACTGTTAGTATTTACACTCCTGTTTAATCAACTGTCTTCAGTCAATTATCATATCAATTGTTGGCGACTCTTCTGTCGCCGTTTCTGTTGAGCATCTAGTTATTTATTTATATCAAGCAAGTTTACACCACAGCCTCAAAACTGACCTTGGTTGAATTCAATTCAATTTCAATTCAATTTTATTTGTATAGCGCATATTTACAACAACAGTCACCTCAAAGCGCTTCACAAAGGCAAAAACAGAAACGAATAAGTTTCTAATAAGATATAAGAACGTTTCTTCAGGATTATTCAATCAGCAAGTCCTGCAGAATGCACGTCTGGGATAAGACACCAAACGTTCTCTGTCGCTGTCTCCTGAAGGCGCCACAGCGTCCATGTGCGCTGCCATTCGTTGAACATGGCGAACCTCTTCAGGTCCTGGTAGGTCTTCAGGGACACAAAGGCAGATACGATGGTGTGACGATGGTGAAGCCACAGATGCTGCCCAGAGCTAGCTGTCTGTCTGTCCGTCCTGAATGATGCTGTCCCCTCCAGCTGTATGGCCGTCTGGGATGTTGTCATGGAGCCATGTTACTGTTAAAGCAAACACACAGCAGTCCGTCCACTCTCTGCGGGTGTCTCTCAGCAATCATAGCACGTCCAGCTTGTTGTCGAGGGACCAGACATTGAACAGTAGGAGCGACGGCCGTGCTGGTCTGGACGGGTTAGCCTTTAGTATGAATCCCGGCTCTCTTCCTCCTCCTTTGTTTACGTCCGTACCATTTGTGCTTCCTTCTCTCTCGGGTAACTGCCGGCGTAGTCTCCGATCGGACTCCGCGTTGGCGCAGCATGTCCAAATCACAACCCATCACCGCAACTCCAGCATCGTTCACTGTCCTGACACCCAACAAAGTCTTCTAGCCACAAGTTTTGCAGAATGAATGTCTGGGACAGACAAGACACTCAAAACGTTCACTTTCGTTGTCTCTTGAAGCGGTTGCTGTGTCTATGCGTGCCGCCATCCCCATGGCAACAACAACAACATATGTGTTTATAGTTCTATTTCACGTTTAACTACTTTATAAAGTTTTATTGTATAATATGCCATTTCTAATCGTTTGCAAATTTTACTTGATTTCTGGAAATCAGTTCACCATTACATATTGTACACTCAATTTCCAGGTGATTAGGCACACATAGTTAAAACTAATGGAGGTTGAAGAAAACGTTTTGCACTAAATCCTACTTTTATGTTGGTTATATTCATGTTTTCTGAAACTGTTTTTCACTCGTGTTGATTATTTTTTATAGTAATTTAAAAGCCAGACAGAGAGGTGTTTCTAACACTTCGTAAACCTCCTTTATTAATTATCATTTATGTCAATAACTTTACAGCACCACAAATTTCCGCCTGTAAATGAACCCTTGTTGAATTCACTAAAACAGCACAAAGGCAGAATTCCTGGCAGAGCTGTTGTATTAGACAGCGTTACCTTTAGCAAGGTGTCCACAATAAACCTGTATCTAAGTGAGAGAGTGTTTTATTACTCTCTCTGCATAATCCACACACTTCACTGAGTGTTCAAACTGTGACACCATGAACATCACTCATCCGTTCACCTCTTCACCAGTAGAGGGCAGCCAAGACACACACAAACCACACCGGCTTCACCCACACGGCTGATTCGGTTTCATATCACTAATCCAGAGCACTAACTAATTTATGAAAACCACTTAAAAAGAGCCATGGAGAGAGAAAAAAAACACCTGTGGTCATTAATTATGCTGAAACAGTGAGTTTAACTGTAGAAAAGGTACCATGTCATAAATTATAGCACGCTGGCCCATTTCACATGTTTGTCCAAAAGAGTCTGTGTCCTGGCTAAAGAATATTTCCCCTCTAAAAGCGTAAGATTTATGTACCGTGCTCGGCGGTGTGACGGCAGACGGACAACTGCTGAATCTTGTGATGCCAGCACAAGCCTGAGTGCCAACATCTTGGAGGCTGCTGTGTCTCAGTTTTACAGGTTAATTGTGAGCGCTGCTGTAACACAACGCCACGCTGGTCGCAGAGGGAACTTCTGGTTTCTTTCAAGTCATTAAATTTTGATTTTCTGATGTACCGCAAAAAAACATCTTAAAGGGCTTGTCAGCGGTGTTTGTTTTTTTCTTCTTTTTTTGAGAGGGAAGTAGTCGAGCTGGAGGCCGAGTTAATGCAGTTGATATATCAGGGGCCACTTCAGACTGCGTTTACAAGCCAAATGGAACGACAAGCAAAGAAAGTCAGCTTCGGTAGCTAAAACGTTTCCTTCAGTGCAAGAATGCAGCACGCAGGCTTTTTCTAAAACACTCCGCTGTATTTTTAACAACAGCAACCAAACTCCAAACGCATATTCTGCTGTCACACTTTGATGCAAATTGAAGTTTTACAACATTGATTGTGAACAAAGGTTTTAGTCTGATAAAAACAGGTCGATGCAGGTCACAAAGCGTCTTTGGTTAATGCATGACGCTATCGACTCGACATGTTAGTCTCTGCGCTGGTCTGCGAAGCTAAAGAGCAACTATTGCAAAACATAATGAAACTATCAAAGCAGCACAAATTAATTTGGCACAGTATGTAAAACTTTATTTCACGCCCTTTGACTTTGAGAGCAGACAAAATATTGCTGCTACCAAGACCTAAGTTAAAAGACTTTAATCTGATGGCAACCATTTGAGGAAACAAGCTTCACCAAACCCCAGGGGATGTGTCCCTGGGAATACATATTCGATTTTGGAGATGAACCCTCCTTTAGTCTCTCGTGGCGCTGAGCCTGCCGTTAAATCCCCCCCAGTCCCTGAAAAGACAATGCTCTGCTGTGTGCAGAATCATCTTTACCTGGGATTTCCAGTGGAGAGGATAGCAGTTGAGCTCAATAGTTCTTCATACAGATCAGCACCTGACACGGGAAACGCTGTGTGTTGGGCCAGCAGCACTCGGCGGATGGCAAGCAGACCCTGAAATACAGAAATTACAGCGTATGAGGCTCAAACAACTGCTGCACGCTTTGGCTGGAACACATGTGCTCATCCATCTCAGGCGGCGCTGCCAGGTTGCTGAGTTTTCTGCCCAATTAGGTCATTTTGATTATAATCCAACAACAAAAGGTAAAATTCTGGCTTGTTTTGGTGCCATTAGAAGGATTTCTGAAACAACAGCCTACCTTGTCATTTGGATAATATTTAACACTTGAGAATGTTCCACCTCATGCTGCTTATGTCACGTTACAAGGTGGTAAACCAACTTTAAAACACAAATAGTTCAGGACACTGCTGGAAACACCCAGTATCTTCACTATTCTATTTAGTCTGTGTCCAAAAGGGTCAAAAATCCTAAACTTTCTGCAGAAAAATCACTGTCCACAAAGTTTCCCAAATACTGAGGAGTAGAAGCAGTAGATGCATGTTCTACTTTTTGTTACTAAACAAGAAATAAAGTGTTTAATCTCAGTGTTATGTTGTACCATGGGCATAAGTTTTGCCAATGATTGGGGGTTCTCCCACAGGAAATTCTGAGCGACAAACACCTAATTTCCATCATTCTAGTGAATCTTAATGCACCAATTTTGCCTTTTCTGCATACATTTATGGCGGGAATGTCTAGGAAAATACTAAATTCAAGCACCAGATGAGAGTTTAGAGCATAATATGGATCTAATTACACTGCAAACAACAGATTCGGTGATTGCAAGAGCAAACAAACAGACCCGCCGCTGTCTGAGGCATTGTTCCCTCTTGGTAATGCAAGTCTTTAAATGTAAGACAATGCGACAAGCACATTTTAGGCATTTTTACCAAATTATTTTTAATCAAATATTAAATTAATTAACTCTTCTGTTGCCGTCTCTGTTCAGCAGCTAGTTCAGGACCCTGTTTTGATAATGCAAGGGGCAAAATGCAAAAATGTGTGTTGAAAATAAAGGAAATCTTAGAAGATTTTGTGTTTGTATTATGTTAAAGTAGGATCAGCAGCCTAGCATGCATTTTCTCCAGTACACAATGTCATTCTGGTACATTTTCATGCTCCAATTTTGCCTTTTCTGCATCAATTTATGGCAGAATGTGTCTATTCATGTAAAGAAAAACACAAAATTCAAATATCGGGTGACAATTCTAAATACATATGGATCTAACTGCATTGTGCATGATAGATTCTGTGGTTGTATTTGCTCAGAACGCAAATTTAAAAAAAAAAATAAGGCCTGCCACTGTCTGAGGAATTGTTTTGCCTTTTAGCAATGTTATAGCAGTCATCTGCTTCTTTCATGTTTGCATCCACCACATCTAAACCTTTATGTTGTACTACAACATATTTAAAAAGCTGCAACAAGCAAATTGTCAACATTTTTGACCCAATAACTTTTAATTAACAATCAGATTAATTGCTTGCGACTCGTTTTTAGCCGTTTCTGTTCAGCAACTAGTTCAGGAGACTGGTTTGATTTTAGGATTTGAAGATTTGTTTTCAAGGGGAAAAAAAAACACAAAATTGTATGAGTTTGAAACAAAGGAAATCTCTGAAGAGTTTATGCTGGTATTATGTTAAAGTAGGACCAGCAGCCAGCAAGAAATCTCTCCACTGTAGGAATACTTTGATTTAATTTCTCCCAACTACACCTATAACAAGCACACTCACTGCCCTACATATACTGGTCACATTTAAAACTAACACAGTCACTGCTCACTTGTACGGAAGAGGATTAGGGCCACTGAAGAAAAAAAAAAAATTCTGAGATTAAAGTCAGAATTCTGACTTTAATCTCAGAATTTTTTTTTTTTCTTCAGTGGCCCTAATCCTCTTCCGTACACTTGAGGCCAACTATCCTCTTTAAATTTAACTTCAAAAAAGCAAAACAATTCCACCAGCACACTAATAAGGCACATATGAGGCATCATTGAGTCAATTACAACACACTCAGTATAATGTCGCGGATCCATAATTATCACTAAGTCAGCATTGATCTAGGAATAGATTAAACCACAGCCCACCTCCAACTAAACCACAGGGGGAGTGCCGGGATATTTTTTCCATTAGGACAAAGCTCATCCCTCCCTGCTGTAAATTCTGCCCTTTGTGAAGACCTGACGGCTGCAGAAGTGAAGCTACTTTATACACAATTGGCTGGAAAGTCTTTGTGCTTCAACAAGGCTACTCAAAGCTGCAGGAGACCTGCACGAGCAACAAATGAATAAAAGTTGCACACAAAAAAAAAAAATCACTTCTTTTCCATTCATGAGAAAGACAAACAGAAATCCTCTCAGTCTAACACCAACAACTAGATCCCAAACACTGACTGCAGGGAAGATCAGTATTGTTAGCTGACGGGGTTTTACCCTGATCAATTAGCCAACGTACTAACACATCTTTTGATAGATATGTTGTTTTCTCTTTAAATACGCAACTGAAAAACCCAGTGCCATTTTTAAAAAATGAATTCTTTGCTTCTATTAACCCTCTGAACCATAACCTAACCCTAACCCTAACCCTAACCCAACCTGTCAATAACAACATTAGATTTATATTATTTTTATTCTTTCTGACAGTCCCTTTAATGTCTCATTTAAAAATGTACCCAAAATAAACCTTTTGCACTCAATTTTATAAAAAGCAAAAAGATTTGTTGCTTCTCAGTTTCACAGAGTGACAAAAATTCATAGACTACTCGGCTAAACTGCAGGCTGTGTTTACACAGACCAGACAAAAGACAAGTGTGAAAATAAATTAAAAATCTACATAAAAATATTCATAGACACATGCTGTACATGTTGATTACAGATTTTTCAATTTTTGTAATAGAAATATTTAAAGAAATTCAACTTTCCTTTAAAGAAAATGAGTCCACAATGAGTAACACGAGAGAAAAAGCACCCAGGGAGTGCTTGTGTTTTAGAGGGTGAATTGTCAAATATTTCTGAAAAGCATTTTCTGTTTCTGTTTAATGTTACAATAATTACGACAGTTCAACAATTTCGGGGTGAAACTATAAGTGAATGTGATTAAATGTGACTTGGGGTGTTTGGGGAGTGAACCCAAGCTGCAGCTGATTGTTAGCTTGTGGGTTACAGTAGCTTGCAGGAAGATATAGTATTGGTGTGAGATCTTTCTCTCTATATATGATGTTAAAGCTTTGTTTCCCAAAAGAGCACAAGAATAAGAAGACTAATTTATTAATTTCTCCCTTGCCTTTCTACTTCCTGATCTGAGTAGAATACAGTTTGGCTGATCAACCAGTTCTTTTGCTCTCCAATGCCGTCATCCCACAAGATCACTGGATTTCTATTTTAAATGAAGGAGCGTATGACTATTTAAATTAACTCCCAGATTTAGGCTTATCGGAACACACTGACTGATGCTGCAGTATCAATCTACTGCACAACAACATTGTTCACTAAGCAGGCTGATCCGTTCCGTATGGAAATTATACCACAAACATGTCGGGAAGTCCAGCTTTCTAGAAAGAGCAATTAATGTTGTTTAGTAGACTCACATTCTGATTAGTCTCTCCTTCTGGGCAAAGAGGATTTCCTGCAAGAATTCATGCCAACAGCTGAAATTTATTTAGGCAAATAAGGCAAATCTGTTGGGTCTCAATTAGTGGAAATGTTGGCGCCCCAATTTAGGACGTGGACTCAAAAGATAGGTGTGTTTTTACATAGAAACGCGGCCTTGTGAAGCTTTAATTGAACAGTAGGAAGCTGCCTCAGTCGGATAAATGTGTCAGTGCGGCTGACCCAGCGTTGACCTGCTCACCGTTGTAATGTGTGTACAAAACAATGGTTCAAATCAGCAGCAGGAGTCTCGCGGACCACAGGGATGCTGGTTATCAGCTCACGGGATGCCTGCAGGCTGAAAGTGTAGCTCAGCCGCTGGAATGAACCTCAACCTGCTGCAGGCAGCGATGGGGAAAAAAAAGAATATTTGAAAAACATAATGATCTCATGGGGAAAAATCTTTGAAGTCCCTCTGAACTCCAAAATGTATTTTGGACGTTGCTCCTTCTCTTGGATGCTCGACCTTCGCTGAACAGAATGATGTATGTTCAGACACTAGAGGGCTGTTTTTCAAATTAGTCTGCTGAAAGTTTTGCACCAAGAACCTCGGGGTACGTCTGCAAAAACACATTTTCATGATAAAACAGTATTTCTAAAGCAATAACTATGTTTATTTAGATGAGCGCTTCAGAAATAATCTGTGTTTATATTAACTTGATTCACTAAAAGTTGATATCCTCACCTATCTGCACCAGAAAATACTAGTCAGTTAAACAAATTATTACTTTATTAATGCGCAATGCCTGAAACAAGGTGCAAGGTGGAAATGGGAAAGATGACATGTCGAAGAACTACCTTGGTTTGTCATTTTTGTGATCTATAAAATGAAAATAAGGTTCTACGTTGGCTGTGTCAGAACAAAGTATAGGCACATTAAGCACAGGCACAAGGACGTTAACCTGTAAGGTAATTTTAAATGTTTGTTAAAGGTCTCATATGGGGGAAAATCCATTTTTACTGCTTGTTATAAACTTGTTGACTGTTAAGACATTCACATCAGCCATTCATCAAGCTTCCCCTCAACTAGGCAACCGTTCAGCTTGACAAGTGAGCAAGAATTGGACCCAGGTGTTAAGTGACACCTAACTAACTAATAGTTGTGTAGCTCAAGGACGCAGACAATGTGTTCCTCCTGAAGTGGGCGGGAACAGCAGCAGCTCGTTGGTTTTCAGAGCAAAACAGCCCATTTAAAACAGACCTTAAAACAGGGGTTATACAGTCAGGGTGAAATGTGAAATGAAACATCTTTGCAGTATTTTGAGCTGAAAATTTGAAAGACAAACAGTGGGGACATGTGAGACTTTGATTAATTAGCTAATAAGGGGCACAATATGAGACTTTTAGCTTGAACTCTGTGAGTTGTTGTCCTGCTTTGTGGGATGATATGCAATGTTCAGAAGCAAACCTGAAAGTGTCACACATTGCAGTTGCATTCAAAGTCGGATTTGGTTACTGAAGAATGTGCCAGATTCAAATGGCTCTCACGTGCAATATTTTCTTGGACAATATTTAACATTGTTGATTAAATTGTGCTCAAATTTGTTGGTTTTCTAAGTGTTCTAGATCAGACAAAAAAATTCTGCTTAATCAAGTGAAAAACGTGTAGTTAGGCCTAAAATGTGCAGAAAAAAACAACATTTAAAAATAAAAACCCACCTACGTGTGAATACAACCTGAGTTTGATGTGTCTACCTGCAAACAGGATTTTTGGCATTACATCCTGATCCTTTTAAACAAGTGTGACGTGGAAATCTAAATGCTGCGTTGCACATAAAACGACAACGTAGGAGACACCCTGTAACCAGCAGCTAAACTTGTTAAACAGGAAAATGGTTTGTATATTTATAAATGCTGATTTAAAAAAAAAAAAAAAAAAAAGATTTAGGAGGTTTAGCTGTGATTTAAAATACTAAATTTTATTTATTTATTTTTTTTATGGAAAAATCCTATCAGACAAATTCTCATTCATAGCAGAGCATTTTGTAACATCTTCACACATGTCTGGAGGGCATCTTCAACACTTCCATCTATTCACCTTGATCAAGGCTGTACTCCCACAGCTAAGATATGTAAGCTAGTGGGGGGTCTAAAATCTCAGTAAGGTTTCATGACATGCAGATAACATGAACATTTTCCAAGTATGGAGCAAGCACACTATAGTTTACACTTTTCTAAACTTTCTCTCATAATTTGTGAGCTTTTCAAGCCCTCTGGGTTACAATATTCTTTTCCTATACATTTCCAGGTTGCATGTGCAGACATTATGGCCACAGAGAATGTTTCACTGACTGAAACGCTCGCAGTCATCTTTTTTTTTACCACGAAAGCTTGGGTTGACTTGGATGCCCTATCCACCCACACAATTATTCACTGATACACTTTTATCTATAAGGACCCTCTGGGGTTCCTTCATGATTATTTGCGCTCTTGTATCTCTGAAAAGTTTGGCGGAAAGCACTATTTATGATCTAAAAAAAATAGTTTCCTGTTATCTGCCCATGAGGTCAGTTCTGAGTTAGTCAGAATTTCTTTCATGATCTCTGCTCTCTTTTTGCGGTTCCCACTGCACAGTGATTTAAAACTAAGAGAGCCGACCTCTCTTCACAGGTTCAAACTGATAATGAAGGACTTTGTGGGAGAATCAAGACGCAGGTTTTTACTTTCCTGCTTACTAAAACGTATCTTTTAAATTGTTTATTGTATATAAACTGCTACGTACAAGACTTGACTTTTCGCTGTTTTACTACATGAAATTAAGTCTAGCTGTAATTGCATATATAGAAAACTGCAGTAAAATATACAAAACAGACAAGAAGCTAACATGCTCTTTAACCTTGACTTGAATCTGTAGCGTAAAACTATTTTGCCCAGCTTGTTAACCAGGTGACCTCATTTGCCATGGGAATACATAACCCCTCCTGTAGGAGATCTGCCTCTATTACATATGACTTTAAAAAAAAAAAAAGTATCCCACCACTTACACAATGCTAAACCCATGCTGCATGTGGGAGAAAGTGAGTCTAAGATCAACATGATATTGGTCAGGGCCTAACCATCCCACTCGGCTGTGTTTATGCCAAGTATAAAATGTGGGTGTTTTCAGGTTTCATCTGAATTCTTTCTAACAAGACAAAGGAAATTGTTGCAGCAGGAAGTGTGCTTGTTCTTGAGGGGCTTATTTGGAGGCAGCATCAGGATGCAGTGGGTGTAGTGTGCTGGGTTAACTGGCAGTGTTTATGCCCTGCATGATAATCAGGGACCTTTACATATTTAATAAATGTAGGTCACATACCTTATAGGACACAGAACATTTCTGAGCAAGTTCCTCAATGTCTGATGAGACCAGGTCCTCCACTGTGAAAACAAGAAGCCATGCGTGTTATTGTTGGTCTGTTTAATTAAGATCCTCAAACTATAAAACACTTAAATTCACACACAAACTGACCTGTTTTAACATCAGCAGCACGCAGGTCCCGAAGTAAACCTTCATCCAGACCAGGACACATACCTTCCCTTAGGACCACCATGGTCTTACATTGTAAACAGCTAATTTAATTTAAGATATATCATACAGCTCCCATAAAACAAGCGAACTATCTCACTGTAAAGATACTCCTAGCTACAGCTGTGTTTCGCTAACTCGGCTAGTTGTTTTTAGCTTCGCGGCTAACTTTAGCAAACTTTTCTGCCTCTGCGCTCTTTGAAGACGGTGTCAGTTACTTTCTGGAATCTCTTCTTAAAGTTCAAGCCGTAAAAGTAGCTGCAATATGACAAACTAACAACCTAACTAAACGTTTTGAAATTAGCTTCCACTTCGTCCATCAACTGCACACCACCACACGCTGATTTGTTTCACAAATATTAAGTGAAAGCTTAAATGTCCTTCTGTTGCTTCCCGTAGCACAGTTCTCACGCATTGCCTTTCGGGTAATGTAGTACGCTTCTCTAAACGTGTTAGTTGGTTGTTAATTTTTGTGAATATTACTGGTAAATATGTTTTCTGTATTTTATTTTATTATTTTACTTCATTCATGAAATTAAAGAGTGAAGCAAAGTTGCGTAAAAACATTTTTTTTTTTGCTGTAAACGTGCAGCCAAGCAACCGTCTAAAAAAACATAAATGTTAAAATGTCAAGATATGCACAAAACCAACAAAAACTGAAATGAACAAACACTTCACCCAACATAGGACACGCTAAATAAAATTTGATAAAATAACCTTATTACTGACAATAACAGAAGTTCAGTCAAAGTGCTTTCCAATAGAGAAATAAGATTAACGTCACAATAGTAGTAACTGACAAATTCAAATATTAAGGTTAAAAACCTACAATATAATATATATATTACATATTTTTATAAATAACTTTTGCGCTTCAGACCCTACCTGAAAAATTCAAATATTAAGGGTAGGATCTTATAATATATATTATATATGACACAAATTTACATGACTAATTTAAATATTGTGGTTAAAACCCCACTGCAAAAAGTGTGTATTATTTTGAATAAATCTCACTTATCTTATGCTCTGGTGAAAACAGTTTATTTGTTATTCTGCTAAATATGCTGGTGTCAGAATTTCAGAAAATGTACAAAAATTAGGTTTAGCACTGTCCATCTGACATTATGGCATCCACGTTTAAAGTAGTATTATAGAGGTAAGAAAAGGAAAGAACAGCAAGTCTAATTAAAAAAAAAAACACATTTTGTGTTTTGTGGTTGGGTAAACCTAATAATTAAGTTGGAAAAAATGAAAACTTCAAGGTGACTTTCCTTTCAATTAAATTGCAGTCATGCTCATGTTAGAGGAATCAAATCATTTAGGTACCTCCAACTTAAAACAAGAGTAAAATTATGACTAATTTAATTTGGATACTCTTAAATTCAATTGCATGCTTAAGTTGGTCTAACAATTCTCTTTTTTCAGTGTACAGTATTTTATATAATACAAACTTACCTGACAAACTTAAATATAAATGTTAAAACCCTTACAATATAAGTTAAATACATCTACCTGATTAACTTAAATATTAAGGTTAAGACCTTAGAATATTATGTACTATACCAAATTACCTGATTAACTAACCTACAACATAAACATTAAAAAAAAACTAATCTAAAGATGCTGGAGTCATGACATGAGAGCATCACAAATTAGTTTTAATCAGACTAGTTCTGACTTACAGAAGGAGGTGTATATTATTTACTTGAGATGAAAAAGGTCAAGCAAGTTAAGACAATTTTTTATTTCAAGGTTAAAAAAAAAAAAAAGAAACGCTTCCCATATCTAATGTGGCGCCTTTGCTCTTTGGGTCTAAAAGATTTTTGGGTTCACCTTGTCCCTTCTGCAAGACTCAGTGTTACCACAAGTGCAGAACTGGTCACAGTACTCGAGGCTCTGAGGACACTTGTTGTTAAGAGGAACCTCTAACTGGACAATAGGCTGATCACAAGCCCTGACACTGGTCCTCACCAGCACAAAAAGTCATTGACTTTGGCTCAGCTCACCACTCTCACAGCACTCTCTGGTTCAACATCTGACCAATCTGTATGAGTAAATTTGTGCTCTGTTCCAGAGATGTGATTCTGGAGTGACAGGGCGGCGTCCTGAGAGGGGAGACTGTCCATTTAATCCAGACACAAGCTCTTCTGTCTGCACTCGTTTTCCAGCTCAAATTTCAGTAGGAGACTGAACCCTGCTGACTCTTTTTTTTTTCTTTCAACTAATTATTTTCCTAATCTCCTATTCACTGATGGGAGCATTGCTTCTGCTCTTTTAGCCTTTGGAAACTTAATTTAATATATGCTCTATAAATAAGGTTAGATTTATTTGATCGGATATCCTGTGGAAGGGACACAAGAAAAAATATGATTCAAGGATCAATAAAAGATCCTCCCATAACCATTAATATGCTAATATAATTCTACCCAAATGAACTGAATTAAAGTTATGGATCAAGAGCTGATACTGTGTTAATCATTTGACTATGCCTGCATGTATGAGTAGGGAAGCTCGACATTACAGAGTTTAAAATGAAAAAACTTTGCTCTGTTCACTCAATTACTGAAGGCTTATTCCGAAACGTTCCCCGTATAGTCTTGCGAATACACGGTGGACGCTGTGCATGTAAGTGTTTGCAGCACAAAATAAAAGAAACCTCCGGGTCAGCGAGGTTTACGAAGTATATTACAAGAACCCCATAATAATTAAGCACTTAACATTGCATGTCATGAACAGAATTATCTGCTCATTAATTTTACTGCTATGACTAGAAGTACATCTCAGTACATTTAAAAGCAGGATTGGGGGCCAGGGGTGAAGAAGTAGAAGATTGTGGAGCCTTTTGTGTGACTCTGGAGCCCCTTCACTTTACAGAGACAATTCCCAGCATTAATTTATTCATCAACCACGAGACACTTGGTTCTCTTACTGATTTTATTGGTCAGTACAGTATAGCAGTGTTCAAAGAAAGTCCATCATGCCTCAAAGTTGTAATTGTAGTCCAAATAACCTGAGTAAGTGGTGATATTTCTTACATATTGCATCAGAAAAGATGCAATTGACACACGTATTGCATCAGCTGTTACTTTCAGCTATAGAAGCATGCTCTGCAAGAGCTGCAGTTGTTCCCACAAACAGTTTATATAAATGGGTAAAACCTTGCTGACCCGTAGGCTTCTTGAACAGTCATTTTCTGGGTCATGGACTGTCCTGTGATGGCACCCAGCTGTCACATAAAGCAGCTACACCTTTAATCTGTACAACTTTAAGTTTTAATATAATTTAAACAGGTAAGTTATATAAATATTAGCATCCTGTGCTATGGTTATGAATAGAAATAGTGGTAAACAGAGCAAAAAGGTTTCATTTATTAGGCTGTAAATATGTGTATTTTTGCTATAAAGTTTAAACATTTTAACATGGGCGTCTATGGGACTAACACACTTTTGCAGTGTGCCTCTAGTGGCAAATGAAGGAACTGCACAACTTTTCTTCTTTCTCTCTCTCTCTCTTTTTTTTTAAAAAAGCACTTCTGTTCAGATTCTGCTGTAGGTCTGGATAATAAAACAACTGTGATATGTACCAGTGATACACACTTCATCAACACAGTAAGAAAATGACTCAATAGAATGTTTGATAGCTTCCTTTAAGTGCATTACATTTAAACCTCCATGAAAGTACATTAATAAAAACATAAAGTTCAGTTTCATGCACAAACTCCAAATGTGCTCCCTTGCTGCCTCTTACTTGCTTTCCTTATTTAATGTGTATCAAGGTGACATGAGTTGCTTTTTGTTTCCATGTAAATTCATTATTTTGTGTGTCTTTCATTTATTACTACCTTTGTACCTTGATAAATAGAACAAAGATGCAATTCAAAATAAAAAATTAAGGCTTTTTTTTTTCTGCTGGTGTTTATTGCAAATAGGTTTCAGGTTTTCCAGCTGTAATGGCGCCTGAGGAACTCTTCATTTAGTTTTCCATAAAAAATGATAAACTATAGCAATTTTTCATGATCGTTTTGTGATGTTATAATATAGCATTGCAAAAAAAAAGTATTAGAAATGTAAAACTCATGGCCGCCGATGTACAGGGGGTATAGTCCCCAACGCAGGGGCCGTGAGTTCGAATCCCACTCATGGCCCTTTGCTGCAATTCCTTCCCCCACTCTTCTCCCCCACTTTCCTGTCTCTCTCTCGACTGTCCTATATAATAAAGGCAAAAAAAAAAAAAAAAGAAATGTAAAACTCATTGGGTGCCAGAGTTCTGATACACTTTCTTTGAACATCAGTGTAAATATAAAGGCACTTAATTAAGATGAAAAGGTTTCTACATCTAGATATATGAAATATCACAACACATCAGAGTAGGGCTGCAACTACTGATTATTTTTTGTTGTCTATTAATCTGTCAATTACTTTCTCATTCTTCCAAAAGCCCAAGATGACGTCCTCAAATGTCTCATTTTGTCCATGACTCAAATATATTCTGTTTACTGTCACAGAGGAGGGGGAAAAAGTCAAAATATTCAAATTTAAGAGAGTTTTGACTATTTTTTTTCTTAAAAATTAACCAGACTGATCAATCAGCTATTGAAATAGTTGACAATGAATCAACTAATTAAACATTCGTTGCAGCTTTGCATCACAGTGAGAGTTAAAAGCTGTCTGGAGTTGGACTTTGTAAACTGTTTGCTCCACTAAAACATGAAGTAGATTTACCTCCAGCCAAAACTGTAAAATATTCATTAATAGAAAGAACTGTTGTAAACATTTGTGGAGCCCTCGTCCATCTCCTTACTGGTGCTGCAGGTTCTCTAATGGATCATAATATAACAGCACTTGTCATGAGCTCTGTTTTGTTTTCCTGTTCTCAGTTCTGCTGATCTTTTGCTTCTGTTCTGCTTCGAAGATGAGTTCCTAGAACCACCTGCACTGCTTCCAGGTACTCTCAGAAGCTGCAGGTAAGTGTCCTCAGCTGGGATTGGTCAAGCAGATGTGCTGTCACAACAAACACAACAAAAAACATTTGCAGAAAAACAGGATGTCCAAGTCTTCAATACCAGAGTTGTACCAGCAGACTTCTTAGTGTCTGAATAAATGAACAAGTTGAAACAAAGTCCATCACCTGTGAGATGAAACAAGATTATAGAAAGAAGAAAATGTTTCCTTAAATCGGTAAAGGGGTGAGAAAAAACATTCACAACGTTCTAAACAAGCTAAGTTTGCAGAATTGATTTCAGCAAGTGCATTCACATACCCTCTGAGCTTCAGGTCGGTAACATATTGAGAAAAGTGAAAAAGAAGCAGCACTA